ACGCGCCTGTGACGCAATAACGCGGCGCCATCTTACCAACGAGAAAGCGAGGTCCAGAGAGGCCACGCTCCCGGCACCGGGTGGTCACAGCGCCCCCGCCAGGCGGGGCGGCAGGATGCAGCTGGACTGTGACCCGGGCCCTCCTGCCTGTCCCCTGGCTCACAACTCACCTGGGGTCCCCCGAACCCAGCCCCCTGCGTGTCCTCATCTCTCTGGCCACCGAGAAGGAGCCATGACAGCTCTTTCTCCGAGGCCTGGCTGCATCTCGTGTCTGAACATCTGTCCCTCTGAGGTCCCTTCCTGGTTTCGGCTGTGCCAAGGAAATATCTCAGAGAGGTCTGTGGGTCCAGCCCAACTCCTCCAAATTCCGGGGTTTCTGCTGTCCCGGAGGCTACAGCTGCAAGGGCAGCGTTGGCTGGACCCTCGGCCGGGCTGGCATCTGCCCCTGCCAAGCTAGAGGCCCCAGCCTCTTCCTGGCCTCTCCGTCCAGCCTCCGCCATCCCCCAGCCATGCCCCAGAGCGAAGGCTCTTAGGTGCCCCCAGAGCCCTTCACGGCCTGGCCCCAGTGCCCTGCCCCGTCCTCCTGTCCTCGGGCCTCTGCTCAGGCCGCCTCCTCTGCCCGGGGCGCCCTCCCTGGCGCTGTGTGCGGGACTCTTGCTCACTCCTCCAAGCTCAGTGCAAATGCCACCTGCTCCACTTGCTCGCTGCCTTCCAGGATCTCAGGGCTTCCTGGAGGAGGTGACACGAGACCCAAGTCCCCCCGACAGAGGCAGGTGGGCGTGGGGAGTGAGGAGTGGGGGACCTGGGGTGGGCGAGGGGCTGGCACAGACGAGACACTTGCAGTGCTCCAGTCCCACTCCAGCCTGCAGATTCCAAGGGGGGAGCGGGCGCCGGAAGTGGGGGACGGAGCTGAGAGAGGAGATCGGAGAAACTAACAGGGACCGGACTGCACAGAACCTTCTTGGTCTCAGTAAGGCTCCTGGCAGCAGGGAGCCTTGGCTGGTTCTAGGCAGGGGCGCGCGCCACCTGGGTCGTTTGGCAGGACCCTCTGGTGCGGGGGAGGAGCCAGGCTGCAGGGCTGAGGGATGAGGCGGGCGGGGGCAGAGGGCCCCCCAGAAACTGATGTCCACCTGGGACCTCAGAGTGCGAAATCACTGGAACGTGTGTTCTTTGCGGATGTAATGAGTCCAGACCATCTCGGGCTCGGGGGCCACCCTCGACCCAGTGACTGGCGTCCTTGTTAGAAACAGAGAAGACGGACAGAGACACTGGGAAGGGGGGCGTGTGGAGACAGAGGCAGATATTGGGGTGAGAATGTGCATGAACCAAGGAACTGCCCAGGACTGCCACTGGCCACCAGCATCCAGGGGACAGGGATGGGGCGGAGTCCCCCTCAAGGTGCCCGGGGTGAAGAAGCCTGTCAACACCTATTTCTGGTGTTCCGAGCACAATGCACACATTTCTGCTTATTTTTTTCTTTAGAGATGAGGGTCTTGCTATGGTGCTCGGGCTGGCCTGGAACTCCTGGGCTCCAGGGATCCTCCCACCTCGGCCTGTGGAGTAGCGGGGACTACAGGTGTGTCCTTTTGTGCCTGGTTAAACCTCTGCTCTTAATGGCACGCCACCTCGTTTGTGCCACTTTGTCGTGGGAGCCCATTGAGCCGGAGCAGAGCCTGGCGCTGCGTCTCCGGCTGGGCGAGCCCGCTCCAGGCGGGGTCTTGGGGTGAGCGGGAAGGCGGTTGGGGGAGGGGCCGGACTCTGAGTCCCATTTGGCCCCAAAGCCAGGCGAGCCTGGAGCACGCGGGCACCCCAGCGCGAGTCCAGGGCTGAAGGGCCTGGCCTGGGGCTCTTGGCCGCTTCCCTCTGCAGCTCTTCAGCCCCGGCGGCCCGGGTCCCGGGCGGGGTCCCGGGACAGAGTCCTGCTCGGCCCGGCCCCTCGTCTTCCCAGGCGCCAGGCAGCAGGGAGTGCCCGCCACCCTCAGGGACTTCCCCCGGTAGCGGGACCCGCGACTGCCCACCCCTGAGGTCCGTGGCGGCTCCTGGCGCCGGCGCCGCCCTCCCAGCGCTGCGCAGGGGCGGCCGAGTGGAGCCGGGTGGAGCTGGGCTGGGGACGGGGTCCGCGCTGGTCCCCGCCAGAGGAGGAAAGGGGCTTGGGAACAAGGAGGGCGCGGACCTCCTTTGTGTCCATTTCTGACTCAGGACCTGTCCCCAGTCTTCCCGGGGACAGACTGTCACTCCCGCCACCCTGACTGCCTGTCCCCTTCGGGAGCTCAGAAGAGCCCGGTTGCGAGCGACCCGGGCGCAGAGGCCAGCAGGGATGAGGTTTGGGGGCTGCGTGGACGGATGCGCTCTCATCCGGGGGACGCCTGATGGGACCCGAAAGCTCCTCGAGGTCCCCAAGGGCTCCCTGAGATCCCCCAGGCTCCCTGAGGTCCCCAAGGCTCACCGAGGGCCCCGCCGCCTCCTGGTCCCCAGGGCGGCCCCACCCGCATTCGGCACCGACGGCCCAGGAGAGTATCTGGGACGGGCCGCCGGTGAAGACAGGGATAAAGCGAGGGCGCAGCCTTCTGTTCTGCCCCGTCCCAGCTCACGGTGTGGCGAGGGGGCCGGGTTCTGTGTGCTCCCGGCTCAGCGCAGACAGGCGAGTGCGCCCCGGGCTGCCTTCCTGGAGGAGGCGCTGCCAGCGGGATCTGGGGAGGGGGGAGGGTAACCGGAAAGTCGCGGGTGGGTGTGGGACCTAGAACCAGCTAAGGAGGTCCAGGGCAAGTTGAGCCTCGGGGGTGGCTCCAAATCACCGGGCCCTGTGCCCAGGCTTGCCGCGTGCTTGTCGCCGCGGGTGATAGAGTGAAAGCGGGGTGTGAGGGACACCGGCGCTTACGTGGCACCTGCGTGCACCTGCACCTGCAGGCACGCTCGGGCCGGGCTCTGCAGGTGTGCGTCCGCCTCTGGGGCGGGGTCTAAACGCAGCCGGTGTGCGCGTGCGGGTCGTGTGCGCCTTTGGTGTTGGTGACAGTCTGGAGCACCTGATCGTGGGGGGACAGGTGGCAGGTGGATGCAGGTAGAGAATAGTGGGCTCAGGTGCAGGAAGGCTGAGCTGGGCAGCCGGTGCCTTCTCCTCCCTTAGCTCTGGGCTGGCCCTGAACACTCGGAGACCCTTTCTCTGGCTTCCTGAGCACAGGCCGGGCTGTGCACACAGCGGAGGGACAGGGAGAGGTGGAGGAGGGCCCGGGGAAGTCCAGAGTGCTTCTTTTTTTTTTTTTTTTTAAATTGAGATAAAATTCACAAAATGCAGACTTAACCGTTTTATTACTGGAAGCGTATGACTCACTGGCATTAAGTGCATTCACAGATAGGGTGCAACTACCATCCGTATCTAGTTTCCAAACATTTTCATCAGATCAGCCCCAAAGGAAACTGTCCCCATGAGCAGTCACTCCCCGCTCCCCTCCCCCAGCCCCCCGGCAACCATTAACCTGCTTTCTGTCTGCATGGATTTGCCTGTTCTGTATGTTTTATACGAATGGAATCAGAACATACGTGACCTCTCGTGTCTGGCTTCCTTCACTCAGCATGTTTTCAGGGTTCGTCCTCTTGTAGCATGGATCAGTGCTTCGTTTTTTAATTTACGTTAAATTTACTGACAAAAAGTTAGCCACACAAAGTGCACACAATTCAGTGGCATTTAGTACGTTCAGTGTCGTGCAACCACCACCTCTATCTAGTTTCAGGACCTTGTCACCATTCTGATAGGAAACCTCCCGCCCCATTCCAAGCTACCCACGTTCCCTGGCCACCCCTAGCAGCATGCTTTCTTCCTCTGTGGATGAACCTGCCCCGAACATCCCATATGGACGAGATCGTACAACCTGGGGCCTTGGGACTCCGGCTTCTTTCACTTTGGCCTAAGGACCTCTTCAAGGCTCCTCCACGTGGTCTCCGTGCCTTCCCACGGCCGCAGCCTGGCCCACCTCGTGGGTGGACCTCGTTCTGTGCGTCCATCCATGTGCTGATGCATTTTTGCTTTTCAACATGCATTTTGTGTGTTGCATGCACCCCGTTGGCAGGCTGGAGGGAAAGCGAGAGGGAGAGAGGCCGTGGTGGAGGCAGGGGTTCCTGCTGGGGCAGGTGCGGCGGCCGGGGGTGGGGGGAGTGGCTGCCGTGGCCGGGATCCGAGGGGGATCTGGCTCCGTGGCCACTGCGGGAAGGAGACGAGAGAAGGTTCCGTGGCTCAGAGCTGTGGCGTCTGCATCCCTCAGGAGGCCGGGGGTCAGAGGATTGGGGTACGGGTCAAGGAGAAGGGGAGATAGTCAGAAAAGAGCACTGACAAGTGGCCAGAGATAGGCCGCCCCACTGGGGCCGGACACTGTTACTCTACAGTGGTGCCAATCGGTACTTGACCCTTCTGAGAGACCCGGCAACAACAACGACAGTTAAGTGCTTAAGGGGCGTCACCTGGGTTGGCAGCCCAGTAGCCCTGTGACGTAAACATGATTACTCCGGTTCTCCAGGCGAGCGATGAGGCCCAGAGAGGGGACGCGGCCCGCCCCGGGGCTCGCAGGTGGTCGGCGGCGGTACTGGCACCGAAACAGAGCCCGAGTCCTCTCTGTGCAGCAGGAAGCGATGACTTCCAGCTCAGGTGGCAACTGAGGAGTAGCTTTTGAAATCCGGGCAGCATTTGGACCCGCAAAGATGGGAGAAACGTAGAAAGCCCGGCATGAACAAAGCCAGGAGAGCATGGTGTGGGGGGAGGTGCACGGAACTTATAATAGTAATAATAATAACAGTAGTGCAATAATTATTAGCAGTATTTCTTTATTGAATTCCTACTATGTGCCAGGAGCCGTGTGAAGCACTCAGGATGCATGATCTTATTTAAATCTCAACACCTTTTTGCAGATGGATGTATCTTGGCTTGGGCAGGCGAGGCAGGCTCTCAGGTGAGCTCCCAGGTGGGACTCACCGGGCGCTCCGTGCTGCTGACCGCCAGGGCCCCCTCCCTCTCCCCCGCCAGGTGTGGCCGCCATGCCGGGGCTGAACCGCACCTCCGTGTCCGAATTCATCCTCGTGGGCTTCTCCGCCTTCCCGCGGCAGCTCCTGCCCGCCTTCTTCCTGCTCTTCCTGCTCATGTACCTGTCCACGCTGCTGGGCAACCTGCTCATCATGGCCACCGTCTGGAGCGAGCGGGGCCTCCACACGCCCATGTACCTCTTCCTGTGCGCGCTGTCCATCTCTGAGGTCCTCTACACTGTCACCTTCATCCCCCGCATGCTGGTCGACCTGCTGGCCGCCCACCGTGCCATCGGCCTCCCGGCCTGTGCTGGCCAGATGTTCTCCTCCTTCACGTTTGGCTTCACCCACTCCTTCCTGCTCACCGTCATGGGCTACGACCGCTACGTGGCCATCTGCCGGCCCCTGCGCTACCACGCGCTCATGAGCCCCCGCGGCTGCGCCCGCCTGGTGGGCTGCTCCTGGGCCGGGGGCTTCACCGTGGGGATGGTGGTGACCACGGCCATCTTCCAGCTCACCTTCTGCGGATCCAATGAGATCCAGCATTTCTTATGTCATGTGCCACCGCTGCTGAAGTTGGCCTGTGGACACAATGTACCAGCTGTGGCCCTGGGCGTGGGGCTGGTGTGCATCACGGCCCTGCTGGGCTGCTGCCTCCTCATCCTCCTCTCCTACGCCTTCATCGTGGCCACCGTCCTGAAGATCCCCTCCGCCGAGGGTCGGCGCAAGGCCTTCTCCACCTGCGCGTCCCACCTCATCGTGGTGGTCGTGCACTACGGCTTTGCCTCCGTCATCTACCTCAAGCCCAAGGGGCCCCACTCTCAGGCGGGCGACATCCTGATGGCCACCACCTACACGGTCCTCACGCCCTTCCTCAGCCCCATCATCTTCAGCCTCAGGAACAAGGAGCTGAAGGCCGCCCTCAAGAAGACCTTCCTCAGCAAACTCCATTCCTCAGGCACCTGAGCGCTGGTGCGGAGGTAGCTGTGGAACACGGAAGGGTGTTGTCTGTACCCTGGGGTTAATAACGACGCCTTCCCTGTACTATTGCTGCAAAGATTTGCCAATGACCACACTCATCACGCATTAGGTTCTCAATAAATGTTAAAAACTTAAAAAAAATTTCTTGAACCCTTCATCAGTGTGTCCTTATCTTAGTTTTGTTTTTTTCTTGAGCTTTTTTTTTCCCCAACAGCTTTACTGAGACATAATTTACATTCACCCAAACAGTTTACCCGCTAAAGTGTGCATTTCAATAGTTTTAGTATTTCCAGAGTTGTGTAGCCATCACCACAATCAAGTTTAGAACATTTTTATTACCCAAAATGAAATTTATACTTATCAGCAGTTGTTCTCTGCTTTTGGTCCGTATAGATTTGCTCGTCCTGGACATTTCGTATCAGTGGAGTACAAATGGAATCATAGTGTTTTCTGCTGGATTCTTTCCCTGAGCTTTCATGTGTTCAGGATTCTCCCAGGTTGTAGCATGTATCAGTACTGATTCCTTTTCATTGCCAAATAATATTCCATCGTACGGATGTCCTACATTTTATTGATTCATTCATCATCAATGGACATTTCGGTGTTTCTAACTTTTGCTATTTTGAATGATGCTGCTATGAACAGCTGGGTACAAGTTTTTGTTAAAATATGCCTCATTTTGCTTGGGTATATGCACAAAAGTAGAATTACTGGGCGAAATGGCATCTCCACGTTTAGATTTTTAGGAGCTGCCTGACTGTTTCCCCAGCTGTCTGCACCGCTTCACACAGTCCCGCCAGCTGTGTTATTGGGCTCCATTTTCTCCACATCCTCTGCGACGCCTGGTATTACCTGTCTTTTTGAGCATTACCATCTTAGTGGGCGTGCCGTGGTATCTCATTGTGGTTTTGGTTTGCATTTCCCTGGTGAGTAATGATGTGGAGCCTCTCATCATGTCCTTCTTGGCCATTTCTGTGTGTTCTTGGGGAAATACCTATTGAGACACTCTACCTGTTTGTTTTTTTAAAAATTGGGTTGTTTATTTGTTTGTTGTTGAGTTGTAAGAATGCTTGATGTCTTCGGGTTACAACTCCCTTATCAGGTGTGTGATTTTCAAATATGTTCTCACATTTTTATGAGTCGTCTTTTCGCTTTCTTTTTGGTGTCCTTTCGTGGCAAAAAAAAATTTTTTTTAATTTCGATACCATCAACGTATCTATTGTTTCATTTTTGTCACTCATGCTTTTGGTGTTGGGTCTAAGAAACCACTGCTTCATCTAAGATCAGGAACATCTATGTTGTCTAGGAAGAGTTTTATAATTTTAGCTCTACCACTTAGGTCTTTGATCCATTTTGAGTGTATTTTTGTATATGGTGTGGAGTAGGGGCCAAGTCTAAATGTGTGATTTCTGAGCGATTTCAATCTCCCTGAAACTGTCCATGTCTGTGAATTTCCACCTGTGACCCATGGCTGTGATTACATAATTTTGTGAGGTGGGAAATTCATCACACACACACACATACCTCGGTGTATACATTATTCAGATTGAATTAGCAAGCAAAAAGTTTATTGCTGGCTATTAGGTTGCTTCCAGTGCTTCCGTATAGCGATAGTAAAAAAAAAATATTAGCAGCCAGTGTGCCTACCATATGTTGAGCAGTAACTATGTTCACTGATTTTTCATAGATCATTTCTTAATTTCTAAAAACCTGTGAAAGAACACAAAAAGAGTATTGTATTGTAATAATGAGCAACACTCTCATTATTATAATTTCTCATTGTTTATAATTTATCACTGGCTTTGAGGGAGATTGAATCATAGGAAGAGACTTGTTTGTGAACTGAGCATTAGGTATGAGGGTGGTGAGGTGGGGGTTGGGGGGAGAGAGAGAGAAACAGGATAAGATGACTCTGTTATTGATCATGTTGGGCTCTTTGGGGAAGAGAAGGAAGACGATGGCTCGAAGTCTGATGGAGAGCTTGATTTTATGAACACAGGTGTTGGAAATAGATTTTTAAAAAGAGTTTCCACAAAATATCAGTTGTAAGGCTCCCTCCCCATCTTCCTACGAAGCCTACAGTAGGAGCATCTTGTCGTCACTAACTTTCTGAGCTGGGTTTATGTGGTGAAGGCATTGATGTTGGATCCCACTGTGGGGTGGGTACAGCAAAGGGTCATCTTCCATGCAGAAAGTGAAATTCCCTCAAACTGAGACCTAGCTCATTGGTGCAGGCAATTAATCAAATGAAAAGAAAAAATACATAGATGGTATTCCCAGTGTGCAGCTGCCAAAACTCCTGATTCCTCCCAGCCTTACTTGGGAAGCTGCATCAATTAGCAAAGCAACATCCAGCTCTCTGGGTCAACGGTAGCAGAAGACTGGAGCAGAATCAAACGATAGAGTGGGAGTTGTCAAAGAGATTACATGCCAACAGCAATATCTGGCAAAGAAAATGAACCCACATCCAAATCTTGCCCATATAACTTGGTTAATTAACAAGAAAAAAAAAAAACATGAGCGTCATGCATAAGAGGAGGACAAAACTTTTAAACTTCCAAGAACAAATTTTTGAGAGAATATATATTCCAGGAAATGGAAGGACATTTTAGACAATCGATGCAGGAAAATAAAAATAAAAGGACCCCATGAAATAAGAAATCAAACAATGGATTTTGATGAAAAGCACCTGGCAGGGTAAAGAAAGGAAATCGAAGAAAAAAACAATGCAAACGCAGACTTTAAGAACTGAACCAGACGCAACATCTAGGCATGAAGAAAAGAGAAATTTGACCACTTTTCATTTTGAGATTATGCACAGCAAAGGTGAAAAGAGAAATGACAGACTGGGAGTTGTGTTTTTGTCTTTTTTTTTTTTTTTTTTGAGACAGAGTCTCACTCTGTCACCCAGGCTGGAGTGCAGTGGCCTCATCACAGCTCACTGCAACCTCCAACTCCTGGGCTCAAGCGATCCTCCTCCTGCCTCAGCCTCCCGAGTAGCTGGGACTACAGGCGGGCACCACCATGCCTGGTTAATTCTTCTATTTTCAGTGGAGACGGCGTCTCGCTCTTGCTCAGGCTGGTCTCAAACTCCTCAGCTCCAGTGGTGCTCCTGCCTCGGCCTCCCAGAGTGCTGGGATTACAGGGGTGAGCCACCGCGCCCGGCTGGGAGGTCTTTTCAATGCACGTAAAAGGACTCCTGATGTCATGAGGCCCTGGTCCTTCTTGAAGAGATTCAGCCTCCCAGACCAAGTGCCAACAAGCGTCCTGGGTGAAAGTGGAAAGAACTTTGAAGAGAGGGTGCAAGAGGGCGTGTCAGGTTGGAAGGTCACCTGTGGCACCTGCACACAGCCTGCTGGCGGGAGTCAGCCCTGCCGGGTCAATTCAGTGCCCAGACCTTTCCTAGTTCCTTCCACTTCTCTCTCGTCTCCTCCCCAAGTGCTGGATGGGGTTCAGGCAGGTCTGGGTCTTCCCACCCACCTACCGTGCCTGGCTACCCTTAGGCTCAACGTTCTCTTCCTTATTCAGCCCATCACAGAGATCTCCCCATGGAGCAGAAGGTGGGACTGAGGGAGAGATGGCTATGCACAGGAGTAGGCACACTAGGAACATTAGCTGCCTGCTCATTCCAGTTTCCTGTGCTTTTAAGATGGTCTTCATCACACATCAGTGTTCATAGCAGAGCTATTCATAATAGCCAACCAATGGAAACAACCCAAAGGTCCATCGACGGATGAACGGGTAATCGAAATGTGGTGTAACCATGCCATAGAGCATCGTTTGGCCCCAGGAAGGAAGGCAGTGCTGGTACAAACGGTAACATAGATGAACCTGGAAACATTATGCTGAGTCAAAAAAAGCTAGCCATAAAAAGTTGCATATTTTATGATTCCATTGAAATGAAATGTCTAGAACAGGCAAGGCCACGGAGAAAGAAAGTAGATTAGTGATTGCCTAAAGGAGGGGGAGGGAAATGCAGGGGGGGGGAGTGACTGCCAAGGTGCAGGAAGTTTCTTTTAGAGATAATGAAACTGTACTAAAATGTATTTCTGTGATGATCGCACAACTCTGTGACTATACTGTCAACGGAAAAGAACCCAAACTATGCAAAATAATTCAAAGAGTTCTATCCTGAGCCAAATATGTGTGACTGTGGCCCACAGAGCCACGCCCAGGAAGCCTTGAGCCAAGTGGTCCCGCCGTGGCTGGGTTGCAGCTTGGTTTTATTCGTTTTTAGGGAGAAAGGAATTACGTGTGAAATCATAAACGAGTGTGTACATTCGTTTGGCCCAAAAAAGTAGGGCACCTTGAAGTGAGGGCTTACTGGTTATAGGTGGGCTTGATGGTTCTTTGCCGGGAGTTGGCTACTCTCCCAGAGAAACAGGCCCCGAGGCAGGATCATCGCAAGGGATTTGGAAATGGTAGGAAATAGGGAAATAATATAGACAGAGAAATGATTGAGATGTAGACAAAGTGCAGTTTAAACAATGGGGGAGTTAGGGGGTCCTCCAGCATTTCCTAGAGCTGTGAGGCCCCGACTAAAATCCTACATTGGTATTTATTGTTACAGCAAATAGTTGTCTTCTGTTAGAGAAGTACGTGTACAGCTCATTTTTTTTTGAGGTTTCCAAGGGAACCTTACCTAATTCTGTCTACAAGAATAGACGGCCGCAACATTTTTCCAAGATAAGCATGTTAAGCCCTAAGTTAGAAACAGACCTGGCTGAGCATGCAAACTAAAGATAAAATGTATAAGACGAGAACACTGAGTCTGTGTACTACTCTAACCTACTTCTTATAAACACAGAGACATGTAGTGAGGAGTGAAGCAGGAATAGCCTTGAAGTCTAGCATAGCTGCCAGCTTATCTGCTGGGCAGGCATTTTAATCAGCTTCTCCGCCAAGGGCCCAAACCGAGCTTCTGCCTTGCAAAAAAGCTCAAGGCGATGGCTGGCAGCAAAGAAGAAAGGTTGCATTGCAAACGTTCTCTGACAGTGCCTCTGTTTGTTGGAAGGAGCTTCTATTCTGTGAACTCACATGCCCACACAGCCCTTCAAGGCAAAGCCCTGCAAAACCCCCCCAAA